TTTCTTGCTTCTTTGGAACAGGTGGAAAGGTCAGTTCAGGCCCTTCTTACGCAGGGGGCAGCAAGCTACAGCTGAGTAACAGCCACCCCTGCCCTTTTCTTCAAACATGTATGAGGTGTCCGGCACCATGGCCCCTTCACCCACAGAATGTGTCGACATCCTGCTTGCTTCACTCCTGCAAGTTACCTGCCCGGTTCTGCAGGCGTTTACAGGTGTGGCAAAGCCTCACTAGCTGTTCACCAAATTCCACTTCCCTTTCCACCGTAGCACACTAAACCGCATTTCCCTTCCTCCCGTGCAGTCAGGTGCGCTCACGTGACTGAGCTCTGGCCAATGGAGTGTGAGTGTGGGGCTCTGCACCACTTCTAGGTCTTGCCCCTGAAAACCTTCCAGGGTCCTCCACTCTTAGTTTTCCCACATTCTTTCCCTGGGTACAGAGGACCCAGTGGAGAATCCCAAGATCCTAGGACATGGCAGATGTATGAGCAGGATGGAGCCTGGCCTGAATAACCTCCTCTAAAACAAAGCCTTTCTCGCTGAGCCACACTTGACTGTGATGTGAGCAGGAGATGACCCTCTGTGGATCAGCCACTAACACCGGTCAGTGGTTGGCCTACCTGGACCAGTGATTCAGGGGATGGTACTGCATGGTCTTCTTCCTCACACCATGGCATCTTCCTAGCATTTAGACCCCAGCACCACAGAGTGCATACAGTGCTCTCCTCCACATTAATAACGTTCTGCCCCCTACTGTAGTTCACTCTTCTTTATGGTGTTACAGTATTTGTTCATCATCTGGCAGTCGCATGATTTGACTATATATATGAAAACTGAAAGAAGATAAACCTAAGACAGCACTGGTGCTGACGGAGGATCTGCATTTAGCACTAAATCCCCGGGGCCTTAGATCAGAGGACTTGGAGCTGCTGCCCTGGAGGAAAGAGCAAGGTTCTTACTGAGCAGCCGCTGGTGTCATCCAACCACGTGCGCCTGTTGCTCTAAACCCACAGAAATCCTTTCAGTGATATGACAGGTCCCTTCTACGTGTAACTACTTTGAGATATCCCCTATCGAAGCCATCCTGTTTGTTTAAACTGTAGCTGAGAATCAACATAAAGCAGTTGTGTTACAAAGATATTTTTAGGGGAAAGATGTTCAGGTCAGATATCCTTTAAAGCAAATGCACTCTTCCCCCAGCACATTTTTATGAAAGTCTTTTCCTAATATTTTATCCTTATAGGAGCTTCCTGTGGAACTGTGACAGACTTTGCCGTCTGTGGCAAGTGTTCAAAGTGGTGCTTAGTACACGATGGTGCGGTGGAAATGCCTTTATCCCCAGCAGTGCATGCTGTAATCCTGGCCATGGGGGAAACTGTAATATATACAAGGGGGATATATATATTTTTAAATGTGCCTGCCCCTAAAAGAGTGGCTGTAACTATAGCTATAACATACATGGGCAGGAAGCACTGAAGAATTAATGTAATGGTTTGTGAACTTGGAAAGGTCCAGAGACCAAACAATGCCATGGTGAAATCCTCTTGCCATAAAGTAAGGGCTAATCCTTGTAGTAGTCATCAAATCTCAGACTTACCAGCAGCCCCTGGGAAACTGAATCACTATAGAGTGCAGATAATTATACGAAGAACCTGACTTTTGCAGAAGTTAAAGAGGTTTAGAGAACAGGAAGGGAAAGGTATGGAGTTAGTTTTAGATTTATAGCGGGCAGCCTTCTGAATTCTTCCCCAGATAATCTTATTTGGGCCTCTAATCTTTCTAATACATTTAGCTTACTTCTGTTATAAAAATTGTGTAAATCAGGGCACAGTGCAGTGGCAGAGACCAGAAATATGTCACCTTCTGCTTCCAGTGAGTTCAATCAACCTGATGCATCTGTGCTCTGAGACTTGGGTTTTCCAGTGGAAGACTGGTCATTGTTTCTGCTTTGACCCTTTGGTCCTGATCTGTTGGTAAAAAGCACTTAAGAGAGGGGCTCTCCATTCTCCCTGCAGCCAAATACATTATGTCTATGTCCTCGGCAAAGTCCCCCTGTGCCCTGAGTCTAAAAACGCTTTTCTGAGCAACGCCAAGAGTTCTCACTACTGCTCGCCATGCTAGGCATGTAGACAGGACTGTGTGGGGAGAACATCCTGTCTGTGTTCTTCAGAGGCCCAGGCTCCTGGAACACGTGTCAGCAGGTGTGGCCAGAACAAGGGAGAGGTGAAGGCATCACGCAGAGGTGAAGCATCCTGGGGAACAGAACACGTGTAGGAAGAATGAGCCGGACCATGGGCAGCCTGTGTATCACAGTGCCAAGCAAACCTGTAATTTGTCATAAAAGATAGCTTTCCAGCTAGGGAATTTGTTAGGATTTGTTAGAAGCATTCATCTTAATGAGTCCTAAACAATGACAAACAGGGATGGAATATTAAATGGTGGGATGAAAGTCAGAGTTCCATTGGGCCATCACTGGCTCAAAGTTTGACAGGCATGGCCGCCTCTGTTACAGCCTGAATTGGATCTTGTCATTATTTAAAATTTTGGTATCTGATGATAGTATTTTTTTGCATTAACTCAGATTTTACAAAATATCACTGAAAAGATCGTTTCTCTTGATTGCTAAATTATTTTTTTGGTGCCTCTTGCATTTTGCATCTGAGGGGAGTGCCTCCCTTGCCTCCCCTGATCCTGGCCCTCCTGGTGCCCATCTCCAAACAAGATGGAAGATGAGCACGCGGGAAAACGGTCCCTCCCTCCGACGTCTGCGCTAAGACGGAGTCTTTTACAACCATCAGACCGAGGCTGTCCAGCCGTCTGGTCCTGATGTCGGCCCCTCATTTCGCTTCTCATTCTTCACACCCCTAATTTCACTTTAGGCTGGTGAAACCCAGATCTAGACATCGTTCCATGTCTCTCTCTCTAAACCAAGGCTTACCATCCATTTCCTTGTTGGGGATCTCTGTTCACATCCTGCACGCTTTGCCATCCACAGTGCTTGGCACACTCATAATGTGCGAACCTGGACCCCCACCCTCTCACAACCCTCTCAGCCCCACTGCTCTTCCTTTATTCCCCATCTGAACTGCTGGCCGCCCCACCCACCAGGAGAGAGCCTGGCAGTCAGTCGTTGGTAAGTCCTTGCCCTCCTTATCTTGTGTGGTTCATGAATTATTAAGTCCTCTTGGTGTTGCTCACTCAGGTATTTCCCAAATCTCTTCTCTGCCCGCATCCCAGGGGCCACCTGCCTCTATAGTCTCTTTGTTCTTGTCACTTGTCACAGCTCAGCAGACCGTCTCTCACTCCGTGCCTTTGTTCGTGCTGTTTCCCTACCTGGGATGCCCTTCTCCCTCCATTTGGTAACGTCCCCCTCTTCTTTGAGACCAGGGGTGAGCTTTATCTCGTTCACCCCTTACCCCACAAAAACTAATTGAGCTTGTGATTGGAAGCACTCTGTCAGGTGTGGGCGGTCCCCTGCGTGGTCCCTGTGCTCACAGAGCTAGGGTCTCTTCTGGGCCGGGGTGTTCGCAGCCCAGAAGAACAGCAGCGGGAGGGAACGCGTGCATGGGGGGGTCCTCTCCCCCCTTCTGGCACCCTTCCCCGACTCCTCGTCTCAGGCCAACGTCAGCACTTTTCTGTTGCGCTCCCGTCGTGCTCTGCGTCATGTCGCGTGGCAGCCGACCCACACAGCTGTGCTGCTCTCCCCAGCCTGGCTTCCCAAGGGATGGAGGCCTCCTACCTGTCCTTACCATGTCAGTGCCTGGTCATAGGAGGAACCGGATACGTGTTTGCAGAACGGAGGGCTGTCGCAGAGAGAAGGGACAAGGAGAGCTAAAGGTTTGGAGCCAGGACCTTAGATCATGGCCGCCTCTGCTCCTTCCACAGTGCCTCCATCAGCTGTGCCAGAACTAACTAGATTTATTAATGCTTTGACAGTTAACTGCTTTTCCTTGTCTGAAGGCCAGGGTAGGTAAGGCCATTGTCAAGTAAGCCGAGTGCTAAATGGATGTAAATTCCTGTGTTCTTGAAACATTTTACCTAGAGGAAGGTCTACGGTTTCCAACGGCATGCTTTCGAGATACCTTTTAAAATAGGACTCATTCACAAGATCAGAGTGTTTTTGTGCTCAGAGAGGAGGTGGTGGGGGGAGGGAGAAAAAGAAAGGGAGCCAGAGGAAATCCGCCTGGTCTGTGTGGTACGCACACTGGCCTCCTGGACAATAGAGAACAGGGCCTTAGAGAAGCGAACTTTGCTGGGCAGGCTCTTTAAAGACGCGTCCGTCAATCCTGAACAAACAGGAAGCTTGGCAGCCTGCTCAGGATCGCTCATGTGGAGCAAAACATTAAGTCGAACGTTCGAGAGGAACCCAGGTGGTGCTGAATGAACCCTCTTAGGCGGCTGCAGACACAACCCTGGTAAATGATGAAATACCTCTGGGCTGTGGGCTGGCTCCGAAGGACAAAACAGCATTTACCTTATAGTTTCTGCAGGAGGGGTTGAAGGCATTAGTTCCACAGACAAACAAGGTATCATCATTTTTCTTGAGAAGAACCTTAATAAAGTTGTGACACTCATCCTGAAAAAGAATTCAGACTCTTGGTGACTCTGGTGCATTCAATACAGAGACCCATTCTTCACTGTGGACCATGATCCGCTGACAGCACGGTTAAAATGAAGGTGGCTGAGGAGCCTCCCCCCGTGCAGAGTTCGAGCTCCTCCCGATGTTCAGCCCACGATGTGGACAACAACCATTGCTTTTTCAACAGTAAATAAGAGCATGGCATAGAGGGGAAGTGTGTGTTTATGTTACAAGAGGAAAGCAGGCCTGGAAGTTCCAAACTCCCATCATACTAATTTTAACGCCAGATGCTCCGGGATCCCTTGATATGCAAGGTTCCTGGCTGAAGTGTGTTTTTATGTTGTTCTCTGACCAAAGGCACAGACCCCCATGTGTCTGGGGCAGCCTTCTTGAGCTCTTCTGCAGACTCCCTGAGGGCTCTGGGCTGCGAGGTGGGCTCCTGACGAGGGCACTTAGAGAGGTCGGGGTAGCCAGCTTTGTGTCCATAATCCCTAAGGCCCCTAAATAGTTCATGATGCAGCCCTCGCAGCTGTTGTAATGTTTCATCACATTAAAAGCAAAGTATTTTTGCAAATTAAAGCCTTCAATACGTTGATGGAAGAAGCAATTACTGGGGGAAAAGGGACTAGCGTGATCCTGTCTACGGCTGGAGATAACGGTCAAAAACTTAACCCAGAGTGGCAGCTGCAGGAGAAATGAAAATTACCTACCTTATGTTTTCCCTTCATTCTGCATGTGTCTACATCAGCCTGTCTAGATTTCCATGTCAGTTTCTGCAGGGATCAAGAAAGAAATCAATTAGAGCCCAGAGGTTGCTGCATTTGATTTTTAGAAGTAAGAGTTCCCTGGGGGAGACTAGAGGCTGAATGTATATTTATTGAAAGCTTTCCGCACCCTTTCTCCATGATTAATTCACCAGAACAACGAAAGATTAGAGTTGGGAATGCTCATTTAATTTTGAGCTCATATCTATTCATTAAACTACAAAATGATCTCCTTCTCTTTGAGATAAAGATGAAGGAGAAAGGAAAGAAGAATAAACAACAGTGTGGAAATTTCACAGAAAATACCCAAATTAACTTGCTAAATTATGCTTATTTTGATAAAACACGTTTCCTTGCCCTTTCCTTTCCGTTGATAAATCAGTTTTCATAAAGCGGGCTTTTTCCTTAAAATATGGAAGTCATTTTCTTAAATATAAAGGGGACATTCACTTTAGGTGGACAAAGATTTAATTCAGGTTACACTCCTCATAAATTCATGGACTGAAGGGATCATCTACTTCTGTAGCAGATTTTATTAACTAAAATACCTCCATGTGGAGTTATAGGGGAAGCTTAGGTTATATTTTATGTCTGTCTGAAATGGATAATGATCAAATTCCTGGACCATAACAGTCAACTCAAACTTAATACTGCAAGACATGGAAGCACAACAGTGAAACAATTGTGCAACAGAATTTTACAGATGAAAACTGATAGTTTCCTGGACAAGCATCCAATATTTTACTAAAGGAATTTAGGAATTACCTAAAACTCTATAAAGTGTATGTGCACACATAATTGATGAATTCAATAGGAAGTATGTAACTGTTTCTGACTATGTGTTAAGCCCCAACGTACCCCCAAATAAGGATCTCACAAAATGTCCCAAATTATTATTGGCCATATCATCTCAATCAGTGCATTTAAAATACATAGTCTCTTCAAGAACTATCCTAAGTTTATTTCAGAAAGATGGTTTTAAAACTACTTACTTTGCTACAGTAAATTTCTTCTGTGTGTGAGGTGTCTATATCAACAGTATAAATATGGTCCCTATAAACAAAGAAAAATGAATACATTGTCAAGCACGAGAGTCAAGACAGTCCATTTTCTCCTGAGTACGTGTCTCATTCAAAGCAGATAAATCCACACCCATGTTATTAAAAAACCAGACATCCACGTGCAAGAAAAAGGGAAGCGTTCAGCCTGCAAGAGACACCTTGGGGTCACACTCAGCACTTTCTGACAAGTCGTGGCATCCTGCTGCAAGGGACATCTTTTATGCAAACTTTTTCCTAGTCTCCCTCATACTGAACGGAACTCTAACTTGTACGTATGTAGTTAAATGGGCCCCCCAGCAGGAACATGGATGGTTCACAAGCCCTTTCAGTACCTTCAAATCCATGGACCAAGCACTTGGTATTCACAGACCACAGTTGTTCATCAAGAGAGCTAACAAAAAGCTCATCTCCATCTCTTTTTAGAAAACATACTTGCAGCCTTAGCTTTGATGATTTGATTGACAAGATGGAAGATGATAAAAGTAAAATTGTTTCCAGAAGCCAGTCTTTTTTTCACACAGTGATGGTCAATTAAGGTCTAAAATGTACTTGAGCTGAGGTTTACATTTCTTGCTTCTGTTCACCTTCCTGTTTTGCTGAGAATTTAGTTGTCTTTATGACTGGCTGCCAATCTCCCCTTGGAAGGGGAGAAACAGAATCAGCAGCTCAGGTGTGGGGCTATATTTAAACATCCCCTTCTGTGTGAGCTGAGCACAAGGGTGTTTTTGTCTGGAATTCAGAAGAAAGAAAAGAAAAGAACTCCGCTCAACTGGGGAAATGGGGGGCTACTGAGGGGAAAGCAAAACAGCTCATTTTCCCTTGAAATAACATTGACTTTTTCTAAAACGCAGGAAGTCCTGGGGCTGGAAAATTACCCACAGCTTTAAACCAAGACCTCAAGGCTCCCATACAGACTTTCAAGCCCCCTCATTACTTGAAAGAAAGGGAGAGGGGAGAAGAAAAAAAAGCGAAGAAAGAAAGGAAGTATCTGCTGTCAGGATTCACTTCAATTCTTTCCCCCTAGTTCTTTGGAAATCTGTTTGCTGTTGCTTTTGGGGAAAGTACAACAGAGAAAAACAGAAATAAAAACAGGCTCTCTCATGTGAAAATAAAGGAGGGAGCAAGGCGGGTGGCCCACGAAATTCCCCTGCCTGCTCCTGAAGTGTGAGGGAGTGTGTGTGCGTGTGCGTGTGCACACGTGTAAGGGTGGTGAGGGTAGAAGGGGAGCTTGTTTTGTGAATTGCTGGATTGGGAAGTTCTTTAAACTTCAGTAGGGTGCCAGCGTCACGCTGCCCTTCAATTCCAAGGCAGTTTTACGGCCTTCCTTTATTTCTTCTGGCTTTATTGGCGGTGCTGCGGGTCAGGGTCATTACTGGGATGGAATTGCCTATTACTTTGGTACCAGGTTTGAGATGACTCGAGGTTCTTCCCTGCCCCGCCTCCCCTCAAAACTCGAAGCAGGAGCTGAATCTATGAATTGTAAATTAACAGCTGATTAACATGCGTTGGCAGTGCTTCAGAGAGCTCTTGGATGGCCCCCTTTTGGCATGGCCTGTTTATGTTAATTAGCAGTTCAGAGATTAAACAACAAAAAAAGAAGAATTTACAAAATGGATAATAATAAGGCAGAACTGAAAGGGGTCCTGGCCATCAGGCTTCACTCAGTCCCTGGGTTCGGGACGGGACCTGGCTTCTGATGACTGACACCAATTGTCTGGAAGGACTGGGGAGCTTTTGGAAAACAAGACTCTGTGAATGAACTCTCCTTCTGGACAATGGCAATCTTTTTCAGCATCCAAGAGATCGCACTGCCCCGTGAACAGAACGATGCCTTATGCTAAACCACAGCCCAGGGTCATGGGTTATTCCCAACCCCCTGTGTGTGCATCCCAGTGTTCCTGCGCTGCTCTTAGTGAATTAAGTTATCTGAACGCAAGCTGACTTAATCCTAGAACTCCCTCTTCCCCGCTCCAGTGAGCACCCCTGAACTGTGTTGCCATGGCTTGAGTCTGGGGAGAGGATTTAACTTTAAATCGTGTTACCTACTGCTTAGGAACACGGATCTCTCGGGGCAGTGCCAGGAAATGTGACATTAAAGGGAGAGGAGAGACCCTAAATACGGTGACCACAGGAATACTTGAAGAATTTCTCCAAGACTGTGTATTGAAGGGAAGTGGCTGCATGCAGAGTGAATACCAACATGTCAGTGCCAGGGTGTTACCAATGTGACCTTTAACTAAAGGTGGTTCTGTTTGACAATCTTAAAAAAGTGAATGTGTTTCTCCTTTTTTCCCCTCCTGTTCCTTCTTTCTCCCTTTCCTGTAGGGAGTTAGGATAAGACTGTCTTGGTTTTAACAGGCTGTAACAATGGTTACTTTTAAGTTTGCACAGCACCTTGCTCCTAAGTCAGGTGCCACCTCGGGCGTGTAGCTCACAGCCATGTTAATTCATCGGGCCCACTGGCAGTCTGTTACACCATTTCTTTTCCCTTAGAGACTCAATTGTAAAGTGAACAATTCATAGAAGATTATTGAGTTAAGCTATTTCTCACAGATGCAATGTTTAATCATTTGTTTTGACCAGCCTTTAGCTAATTGGGTACAAATGTAATCTTCCAGCCCTGCTACGTTTAGGAAACTAAACATGGTATTTAAGAAGGCGCTGATACCCTACCAGAAAGGTGGCCACTGAGGACCTCAGTGCGGGGCTTTTGAATGAATACCCACAATGGCTCTGGTCTTGGGCAGCAGCTATGAGACGGTTATTACCAGGACAGGTGATACCACTCCTACTGCTCAGTGGGCTGCACGGCACAGGGAGTGGTGACCCGGACTCCCAAGCAAGACTGTTCCAGCTCAAATCCTGCCTCTGTCATTTTGACCCAGTCATTTCCCCCCTTTGCACCTTGGTTTCCTCCTATAAGACACACAGATAATAATAGCTCTGTCTCGTAGGGTTTTCTCCCAGGATTGAATGAATTAACATTTATAAAGAACTTACAACTATATTTGCAATTTATATAGCACATTCAGCCAGTATGTACTATATAAGTATTTGTGAAGTAAAATTTGTTAAAAAGTGCTTTGGCATGGCTTCTTGTGACCAACTGTGTGGTGCTCGCAAGATGTTTTAATCTAGCTGGTGGTTTTTTACTTTATGTTGATAGCTTGTATTTTCAGAGCATCTAAATTGTGTTGAAGGAATCCAGCACTGTTGTTTTTTGCCTGTTCTTTACCTATGTTCACAGCCAAACACTACAAACATAATGATTAATCAGCCTAGATCCAGACAAGACCACAATGGAACCCCATAAGATAGTGATCTTTGTTGCTGTTCATTTGGAAATATTCTGAATGAGCTCTACACTCACCCTAACAGGGGATCATATCTATTTAGAATCCCAAGGGACTTCATTAAAATAATCTAATCTAGTTCCTCATTTAACAGAGGACTTTTATGGCCAGAGAGGTTGTGGTCCAGGTAAATTAAGAGAAGAGTTAAGCGCCTAAATCCATGTGATCCCTGTTGAGGCAGGATTCTTACCACACCATTTAGCCATAAGGCAGGGTCTTTTTAAATGACATTTCCCCACTGGATGAGTATTAATTCTTAACTAGAAACAAATCAAAAACTTCTAAAATGGGTGCTATTGCCATCCTGCTAAAGTAATGATATATAGTATGTATTAACTACAGAAATACAAGTTCAATATACACACATTCAACTTAATTTGATACATGTTTACACATTCACCATAGTTTAACAAGTATCAAGGAGAAAAGCAATTTGTGTGTTTGAGTAAATATTTGTGTATATATATACACACAGTGTTCAAGATAAGTAGTGGATTATTTGCGTCTCAGCTCCAAAATACGCAATTACTTCTACTCAGGTCCACATAATAAACGGACACAGAAGATCTTGAAAGAATGATTGCTTGACAAACGAAAGTACCCTGTAAATGAAATAGCACTTCGGGAGCAGTGATCTTTAAGTGATGCACTGCGGGTCCACTGAGGCCTTAAGTAGGTACTCACCGAGCAGCAATGTAGAGGGTTCTGTTCATGATCAGAATCATCTGGATGTCCAGCCTGTGCCTCTGCGTGGTGTTCCGTCCTGGCTTGTGGCCCACAAACACCGGATACTGTTTTGTATCTGTTGGAAAGAGATGGGGGCAAGAGAGGGAAACGGAAATCAAGCCAATTATTGCCAGGACAGGGAGAGGAGGGGGGCCGACCACAAAACAAAACCAGAATTAAGTGAGACCATGCCACCATCTTCCATCCCCACTGAGTCTGCTGTTTTAGGAAAGGCTGTGATCAAAGAGTGCTCTCTAATGATCAAGTTCCAGTCTCATTTCCGGGTGCTCATACGCCTGAACTTACATTCCTAAGTGTCATCATTTCTGACTTGTCCCTCTTTCTGGGGGTGAAACTTGCAAGGGAACCCTTTACATGAAGGTTCTCTTTTCTTCCACAGTTTTCTTTTCATCTTCTTTAGAGTGCTAAGCCTGAGGGGCAGTCTGCCAAAGATCTTGTCTCGGGGCAGAACTGTTTCAAAGCAGCCTTCCCATCAATCACCACAAAGGCAATGTGGTCTGGAGGCAAGAGCCCTCGTCCAGGAGCCAGAAGGAAAATGCAGTGTCCACAGGCGCCCAGTTGGAATAATCTGCTATTGACGGCGGCCCCACTAGGTTGGTTGGCATTCTAGGAACTGTGGGAAGTTCGCTCTTGAGTTAAGCAGTTTGGCTGATCTCACAGAAACAGGGGCTTTGACAGGACAGGGTCAAACTGAGTGTAGCCAGTCGGGTGATCGGGAATGTTCCCTGACCTGGAGAGTCAGTGGGCATACTTCTCCTCTGCTGCAGTTCTTCTTAGCTGAGAGGGGCAATTCGTAATAATATCTGACCTTTGGAAATACCTACATTTCAAAAATCTCTCTGCCTTTAAACCTACAACCTCTAGAGCACGGGTAATCCTCCAGAGAAACTAGGGAAGAAAGGAAGATGAGTTGCATCTGAAAGGCAGTTTTTTCGGAGGTGAAGGGGGTGTAAATAATGACTTGAAATCCATGCACAGATTTACGCTCAGACACCTGCACTTTAAATCCCTGTAGTATCTGAGCAGGGCTCACAGTGGGTGTCTTCTGAGAGCCTCGGGGTACCTCACTCACAGTTAAGCTTGGTATGGGGTTATTGTGTACTTTCCCCTCCACTGCTTGAAATTTCATTTCCCCAGTCATCAAGGAGGTTGCTAAAACAATCATGTCTCTCTGCTACTATCAAGGATTTGAGTGACTATCGAAGCACAGTTTCCTGCAGCACGTGGGCTGGGGTCTCTTCCGTGCAGGGGCACCAAAGGCGGAAGAATACCTATCACAAATGCAGATAAAGAAATGCTTATTAAGGTTTGGTACCTTGAGTTAGGCAGACTCTGCCACGTCCCGAGTGATGACCCTGACCTCCAGTTTGGCCCTTAGTCATACCCTGACTTTTGTTCTCAGACGTGTCAAGGCCGGCTACATCAGCTACCTGTAAAACTACTTCCTTTCACAACCCAGACCGTCCAGCAGAAAGCTGCATACTGATGGATCTCTTTAGTATCCTATGTTAATGTTAAAACACCTTTTTTATGGTTTATTCAGTGTTTGGGAATAATTACTGTGAAGATAAATATTTGGGTAAAAAATGCTTTTCCCTTTACTGTGATAAAATATTTTGTCTTTTGGAGAGAAGGAAAAAAAGCAGTAAGTTGTCTGTTTCATCCCACACGCAGGTAGAACTTTCCTCTTTTGAGGAGTCAACTGAATTGTTAATCATGTTGCTTTCTCCCCTTGACAATGAAGCAGAGAGCAAAAGAAAGTTACGAACTGTTAATATGAGTCCACTGTGAATTCAGAAATCACTTTATCCAAGTCTCGCAGTGATATAACTAAGTCTAAAAATGAGTTAATTTTTGTCCCTAAAGTACTCCGAAACAGTCTTCTTATTTTCTCTTCTTACCTCGTAACAGTGCCTCTGTGTTAGTTACCTATGAAAATGTGCGGTACTGGCCGCACCCAGATGACAGCGATGCCTTCCACAGCTGGTTTCCAGGCAGATCACAGCCTCCGTGCAGTAACTGAGACTGCATCGGAGGTAGACTCTAATTAAAGTGACTGGCAAGTCTCCTATTTTATTAAATTCTCAACTTTTACGTTCTGCTGGTTGATGCAGGCTGAAGCGCCTGCCGAGGGAGAGTCAGAGTGAGACGGTGGGTACTTACAGTTGCCATGCGAAATACTGATTGGCTCAGAATCTTCTGGGAAGCCAGCCCCAGCGAAGTGTAGCAGTGTGAAATATAGCAGCAAGGCTTCTGACCTCATAGTAGTTCAGCGGGGGGACCTTATTTCTCTACTTCACCCTGCCAAAGAGCAAAGAAGAAATTTTTTTTTTTTTGCAAGTCAGCTTTATTCAACTCCATAACATGAAATGGTATTGGAACTAAATTTCAGAGAAAAGGGGCCTCTGTTTCATATCTTTTCCACTGTGAATTCACTGATTATTGTGCTTTTTTGCGTCAGGACCCTGCATCCATTGCTGCACCTCCCATCCCTATGCCTCTGAGCCCTTGCAGGGCTCCTCCCAAACAAGTGACTCAGAGCCTCAGTTCTTTTGTCCTGAGCCATCAGCATTATGGGTGGCTCTGTCGCAGTTAGGAAATGGCATTCTCAAAGTTGTGGATGATTGAGAAAGGATTTTTTTTTTAAAGGCGGATACGGTTTTGTTTCTCAGCAGGTTTACAGCAGCATGCCAGCCCCAGACATGTTTTGTTCTGCCACCCCAGGATCTTTGAAAAATTTGAAGTCGTTGCCCAATATGGAAAAACTAGGAGGTTTCTAACCTCCTTTAGAGAAATCAGAATAACATACCGACCAAAAGAACTGTTCCCTTCAGGCACCATGGCCCAGTCCACCACACCTACACACACCCTCCACACACCCACACGAATGCCTGTAACTGGCTTGGTTTACTGATTTTCATTACCTGCTTGACCCCTTAGTTGAGACTTTTACTCCTAGTTTATATAATTCTACAGTAGTTCTGTGGTGACCTTAGACATAGATAAAATCACACACTCTGTGTTTAAAAGGAAAGAAATGGATCCTTTCAGACTCTGTGAAGAATATTATAGGGAGCATCTGAAACCACATCCTGAAATGGTGGTGTTGATTTTAAAAAATCATATCTCTGTGTATTTTAGTGTCAGATACTACCTTGCAGTGAAATAGTAGTGAATAAAAGTGCCAGATACACTGTTCTCCCCATCTGCATTTTCTTAAAGATGCTCTTTATGTGTAGAAAAATTCTCCTAAATCTTAGCAGTAAAATGCTCCCATGTGAGACTGCTGGCTCCCGTGAAAGAAGGCTCATAAGGCAGTGCATGTCGCATAATTCTCAGGCATATTTCACATAAGTGTTGATCCGCTGGGGAAATTAATGGAAAATGGGGATATCTTTTTATCTTAGTAAAGCCTTTGAAGTAGCCTGCCAAAGATTGTCTTTTTTGAACAGAGCTACTTCAGTTGTCCATCCATCATTTAAGATTTATATGTAATAAAGTCAAACTTAGAAACTTAGATGTCTGTGAACGTTAATTTGGCAAACAAACTGCTAACTTACGCTTTTTAGAACACACTTAATATTAGATACCTACGTCTCTCTCTTCTTCATGCCAAAAAAAGCATTAACAAGTCCCGAGTGTTGCATCGCAACTTGTAATTTCACAGACACAGCTGGGTCTTAATCATTTCTTCAATTGAAAAGTGCACGTTAATTAATTTGCTTTATCTCAAAAATCAAAGAGGGAGAGAGGTTGAGAGAAAAGCCTAAGCAATTCCGTATCTCCATCTCTGATGTATAGATTACAGTTAAACTCTAAGTAATTACTTGTTCACAAGGGGGGTCCATTACCAAGAGACATACACATGTATTTACAGACAGGTTAAGAGTACTATTCATTCATTTATTTGCTAGTTCCTCCTCTTCTAGAGAATCTAAACCCAAAGGAGAGAAGCCCTGAGTCTGCGTGTTGTGGCTCCTGTTCAGTGTAACATTAAAGAGGAAAAATCAATAACGAGTAAGGAAAACACAACCAGATCCAGTCAGAAGGAATACGGGGAAGAGGGAGCGGCAGGGTTTACCAAGGACTCAAGAGCAGTGTTACAGAATTATTCAGAAGCCCGTGGCCCCGGCGCACTCATGGCGCGAGGTGAAAGTGTCCAGTGGTACCAGCTAATCGCGGCCAGTCCACATGAACGCTTTTATAATTTTCTTCAGCTGAGGTTTTGATGTATTATTCCCTTCCTACACAACTTTGGGCTCTAGCCGTTGTAAATATGTGGACAATATATTATTTCCTTGTTGAAATGATTACTTTGTGGAGAGATCTCAATTCAATCACACTGTCATTTCCCATCCTGCAGAACACGGGCTAGGTCTCCCCCGAAGCCCACAGCGTACAGACCTGCACCAGCCCAGGAGAACAAAAACAAACAAGACCTTTCCACTGGATTTCAAAATCTTGAGTGAGCCGGGCTGCT